TAGCCAGCACGAATATCGCCCAACATAAAATAAAAGTGATTTGTTTAGAAAAAAGATGAACATGTGGGATCACTTTACCACAATGAGAAGAACTTAGAAAAATATTATTTAGCAGAAGAGGCAACAGGCCAACCTAACATTAACAAACCAAATGCTACATTGTCCTTGCTAGAAAACTGGGAAAGCTTCGTCAGAGCATAGTTTGCTCCACATTCTCCAATTCTGAAAGAGCTGATTACGATTGTTCTCCGTTCTCCTTTGCAGAATTTTTATGATGAAAAAGCACTAGAGGCTATCATCACTAAGACTCCAATGGGACGCATCGGAGAGCCAAAGGAAGTCTCATCATTGGTGGCATTCCTCTGCCTGCCTGCAGCTTCTTATATAACAGGGCAGATCATTTACGTCGATGGAGGGATCACACTGAACGGCCTCTTCTTCCCATCAAACATAGCTTGAAAAGAAATTGCACACCACCCACCCCACTTCGCAATTTGTTATGCATAAGACTCTTTATAATAAGACGCTTTTCAACTAGACATATCATGGGTCAGATAAGGCGTGAGCCTGAAAAGGCTAGCTCAACTATGAGCCTGAACTTTGTTTTTATGCCCAACATATCTGTAACTTTGATTCTCTATAAACCATATTTACATATTTTGAGCTTTGTTGAAACGGCCAACCAAATCTAAATGGTTCCTTGCAAAATGATTCCACACTTATTTCACAGGACAAGCTCGTCAATCTTCTTTTAACTTAATAAATATGTTTTTTGAATTAAAATAACAAGTACTATTAAAATCTATTTAATTTTTCATTAATATAAAATCTTTCATAAGAGATATGAGTTTAAAGATAAATACAGGACAAAATAAATCATGTCACAAATTTCACATCAATAAAAATATAAACAATAAAAACTTGTGATAATCAAGAGTGGACTTATTTTCATGAGAGCAGTGTCATATTTATTTATTATATTATTTATTTAAAAATTTTATATATTTAATAATACTAATGAACTCATTATTTTTTTTACAATTTGTAAGTAGTGTCAAAAAGTGAATTTTATTAAAAAATCTATATATTAATAATATTTAAATATTATTTAAAAAATAAATTTATCAAAAAATAATTTATATTTTAATATTTAAATATTACATGAAAAGATAAAATATTTTTCTTCTATAATTTAAGATTTTATTAGAAAAGTCAAAACTTAAACTTCTTTTTCTTTTCAAAAGTTCAAGTCCTACTCAGGAGATCTGAAATTTTCTCTTCTCAATCCTTTGATTGTGTTTTTCACTATCTCAAAGTAACTCAACTAGACTTTAATGGTAAATAATCTTTAATCAAAATTAAGTTTTAAATATTTTATGTCTAAATATTTTTAATTAATTGAATAGTTTGAGTTTATAATTATAATCTAGTTAATAGAAAATAATATTGCCTTTCAAATAATATATTAAAAGTATAAATTTATTTATTTATTTTGTAGATATTGATTATTTGATTTTTTATTTAATTTTATGTGGTTTTTGGATGTTTATATTTAGTTTTGATTAATAAATTAAAAACTATCATATTATTTTTTATTTTAGAAAAGTGTTCTTCCACATAAAAGGAGCAAAATACAAAAGTAATGGAAACAAAACACCCCCTTCAACTGTATCTTCACCCAAAAAACAAGAGAGTGGAATATTTATCCATTTTTAACTTTTACCATGAGAAAAATTACGGTATCTTCACTTCACCTAACTTATTGAGTTTGATAATTTACTATATAAGATCATATTTTATTTAATTCTAATATTATTAGATGTATTTATAGTGTTTTTACTGATATTATCATGCAACGTTTTTAAAATATAAAAAATGATAGTGAACAATTATAGGTTTTTTTTATATGTTTTTATTTTAAAATATTAAATTAAAACTTTTAATTTATAAATTTTAATATATTATTATTTTTTAATTATGACATCATTGAGAAAAATTTATAGATTTACTCCTGGTGACCATGGCACCTACCTTCCCTCTTAAATTAATTTCTTCCGGTAACCAAATCACCTAATTACTTACCAAACCAAAACTTGATGATTTTGATAAAAGGGGGGCCTCATCTTTCTGTGGGCAACGGAGGGGGAACTCAGCTGATGTGTTCCTTGAAAGAGATCATTCGGCTATGGCACATGTTCCACCATCTTTGAGGACAACATGGATGATGCTGTCTAAGTGAAGAAAGCGACTACAATGACGTGGAAACTTGTAATTCTTCAACTAGTTTCACTGGACGGAATAGAGTGAGAAGGACTAAAGTTGAAAACTCCGAATAATGTTAATTTGACAAATCCTGGAAGGATTAAGAATAATTAGGAAAGGAAACCTGACCGAAACCAGAGAAACTTTGTAACATTAATTCACACGCAAAGCAAACAAAGATCACAAGTCTAATCCCTGGATTGTGCGATTTTGAGGGTTTATTGCCTCGAAACAAATCTCTAAATCAGGAATTGATTACATCTGGTTGATTGGGAGCGGCGTTAGATATACAAGCAATCCAAACTCTGAACAGCCCAGAGTGCTTTAGTTTAAAAGAACGTAAGCATCGTGAGACCTAGTACATTTGCCTTTGTGACACACATAAAAGCAAAGTGAGAGAAAGAAAAATACTCAAAGTGGACATTATTAACAAAAGTCCATTCACACGTCGTCTGTTCCTTACAAGAATTCAATTCCCCCTTTGGTGTATAAGAAAAAAGAAACCAACGACTAGTGGAAGAGGATACCCTCTGAAAATTCATTTCCCACGACATAAACGTATTAAAATAAGAACCTGTAGACAAATCAATCGAGCAAATTAATATTGTTGGTGTTGAAATATTCAATCCCATGACGATAACTCGAGAAACACTCGTGCCATTCATCGATCAATGTGCAGTGCCGAAGCCACGTTGAAGCTGAGCTATACCATACTAAGGTAAGACTGATCAGACAATCAATTTGATAGAGTTTGGTTCCAATAAATATATTCTCCAAACAATATTTCAAACGTAATGAAGAAGTTTTTTTTTGGCTTCAAATATGTAATTGATTAATGATAAGCTGAATCCATTTTAATATTACATCTATGTTTTAAAATTAATCTTGGTGTACAGTCATATCACTTTCTCAAGAAAATCAATAACATCCCTTTCGGGTACAAAGAAACTCTCATTGGGATTCGCTCTTCGGCAAAATATATTTACTTGAACTAAGTAATGGAGGCTTAGGTTTAGTCCTAAGCTCCATATATGCAAGTTCACTTCTCTCAGAAAAAGTGTATTATATATGTAGTCAGTATTATTTTTGTCAATAAGACGGTTCAGGGTAGCACTTTAAGCTGCCTTTTTTTTTTCCTTTTTCCATGTTCTTCTTCAGAGTGATTGTACTTTATGAAACAAATTGTCATAACTAGTATCAAAAATGATCTAAATGCTTTAATTTTCCATGACCTTTAAACTCCAACAATTTTTTTTTTCCTTTTAAGGAGAAAGCCCCTAAAATCCTCCAATTCCCTGAACTTAAGTTCCCTGTTCTAGGCTGGCAGATACAACCTGCAACCAAACTTAGGTGTCAACTGCAAAACCCCTCTTCCTAGACTTATACAGCCACAGTCCCGCCCTTTTTTTGGCATGCTGTGGGTTATGTCACAGGTGCCAAATGTAATCTAAACCATGCCCTGAAATCTACGCCTACATGCAATCTGCCCAACATGCACAAAACTATTCTCACCACGTACCACCTCCCCCACCACCAAATTTCCCTTACCTCGAAGTTCTTTCTTTCTAAACCAAACACCCTCTCTCTCTCACAGTCACACGCACACACCTGCCCTCTTTTTCCGCTTCCCCCCCTACGTGTTCATGATCTTCTCTCCACGTACCCCTCTCTCCCTTCCCACCTCACCTCCCCAATCCTTTCAACCCTGTTAGCCACGCGTCACTTCCTTTACGCCCCAAGAGAAGTCTCTCGTTTTCTTCGACACCCCTTTACGTGGGACGATACAGGAATACACTCCCTTTCTTTCCTCATTTCGTGGCCCTGTTTCCTACTAACGGAAAAGAAGGAATTTCGCTTCTTCTGTATCATTTTTTTTTTTAATGGAGAAGAGAGTTTGGTAGGGTTTCAATTTCACGGAGAAGAAGATGGACGTGAAACCAAAACCAACCTAACCAAACATTCCGCATTTGGATTTGTTTAAACTCTTTTTTGTTAAAGGTTTTTCTCTTCCCCTAGTTGTCTACTCTGTCCCTGGACCTCAATTTTCCTTTTTTTTTTTATTTTTTTTCACTCCCAGAAATCACGTGGCAACCTTTCCGCCTTTTTTTCCAATGTGTCGACTTCATGCAACCCCTGCTCCCCCTGCTACTACTTCCAATTTTGCGTGCCAGCTTAACTTTACACGTGTACCTTTGTCTACAGGTTACCTCACCTGTGGCCCCCATTATCCCGTACTGTCCTCTCTGTCAGTTCACACGTTGTCCAATCTTACTCCCCCACGTGTCCTGCAGAATCCAGTTCGTGTGATTATGTTGCTGCCCACCTGACAATATGCTCCCCTCCCCTCTCATAATTTGTACGGTAAAAGGTTTAAAAGCGGCTCGGGTTCCTCCTCCAGTCTCCCTTGCCTGGGGGCCCAAACTGCAAAAATAATAAATTCTGTGGGGCAAATGTTTTAAATTAAAGTCAAGTGATTAATTAACTCATTCGGGTCGGGTCAGACACGCGTTCGAGATTGAGGAGAAGGAGCTCTAGATGTTCTACATAAGCGTCAACTATGTGGACGTCGGGACCCACAAGTCAAATCAGCAACGGATACGTAGACAAATTTGATTGGCCCACGAAAACCTAAGCCGAATAAAGTTGGAATTTCGAGAGGAAAAAAAATCGTGGCTCATTCTCGTATTCCACGATGGAGACACGTGGACAGCAACTCAAAATCGAAAAGAGGAGACTCTTTCTTTTTCCTCTATCTCTCCTCAAAAGCAAGTTCAAAACACAAAAAAGGGCAATTAAAAGAAAAACCAACGTCTTAGGGAAGGACCACATGCGTGTCAGGAAAGGAAGTTCCTCTGATAGCGCTGTTGACAGTTGATTGGGCCACGTAAGAGGGTACGTTATGAGAGCCAACACGTGGTGGATTTGACAGGGAAGGGAGAAGTGAGATCAACGGTGAAGATGAGTTCATTTAGGGAAAAGAGCACTGCGTCACGGTACAAAACAGTACTACCTGATTTCGGCCTGCCCGTGACGGTGATGGGCAGCCTGCCCGTGGCGACCCAAAAAGCAGCTTCCATCCTCCCACTGAAACCGAAAGCCTCTTCCTTTTAAAAGCCTCCCTCAATGGAGCGCGCGAGCGTTCTTGTCCATTTCATTTTCGCATTCGATTTTACGTTGATTTTTTAAAAAAGAAAAGCGTAATTAAGAAAAAAAATTTTCAAGAAAAAGAGGTTTCGAGATTTCTTACCAGAAATTTTGATGATAATCGGGTGGTTTTAATTGTTGTAATGGCGGAGATCTGCTGCGGAATGGTGAGCGAAGGCGAAGCATCAGCTCCGTGCGAGCCAAGCTCTCGTGCAGCCAGGAGACGTAGAATGGAGATAAGACGGATAAAATTCGTCACTGACGTGGCCCCATCAGAGGCTGAGAATGGCCGGAAACGCCAGAAGCTCCAAATTTACACAGCCTCATTGTCTCTAGACTGTGAAAACGCTGTTGACAATTCTGCATCCGATGAAGACGGGAATAAACAAAAGGTAAAAGTTAAAAACGGAAGATCGAAAACGAAAGGAACGATGGTGAAAAGTCACTCGAGCCCTCCCTTTTGTTGCCTCTAACCGATTCAGAGTTCTATCCGAAATTCGGCGTCGCTTCGGTTTGTGGAAGGCGAAGAGACATGGAAGACGCCGTCGCTATTCACCCGTCGTTTCAGCGCCAAGGCCAGGTCTCTGCGGCCACTGGGTTTCACTATTTTGGCGTCTACGATGGCCACGGTTGCTCTCACGTACGAGTCTTGTAATTTAAAAAATTAAAATGAAAAGATCAGTTATTCCTTTTCTTTTATGGGGAAAATTGAAAAGTTTTTTGGCGGTTTTGGTTGTTGCTGTTTGTTAGGTGGCGATGAGATGCAGAGAGCGGTACATGAGCTGGTGAAAGAAGAGTTGCAGGGTGAGGAGGAGGAATGGAAAGGTGCGATGGAGCGTAGCTTCACACGCATGGATAAAGAAGTGATCAAGTGGAACGAGAGCGTGGTTGGAGCTAATTGCCGTTGCGAGTTACAGTCCCCCGAGTGCGATGCTGTTGGATCTACTGCGTTGTCGCTATCGTAACGCCTAATAAGATTATTGTTGCTAACTGCGGTGATTCTAGAGCTGTTTTGTGTCGTAACGGCAAGCCCGTTCCTTTATCGTCTGATCACAAGGTTAGCACTTTAGCTCTCTCTCTCTCGCCGCCCTCCTTTAGCCTGTTTGGTTTCTGGGAAACTGCTCCCAATAAAAGAAAACGGTCTTTCTCTCTCTGTAATCATGTTTTATTAATCATATGATTTAAGGCTAGAGACAAGATAACAGATAGGAATTATTCGAAAATTGCCAATTTTCTTTCTTTTTTCAGTTTCCAATTAACCAAACGACTTCTTTAAGAAACAAGACTTGATTGTGTCCAAAATCACGCCCTTTTCTTTTCTGTGCCCTTTTTGTTTGCCCGTTTTAGTTTCTAGGCTGTTTAACAGCTTAAGAAGCTAAAACGTGGAAGAGTATTTAGGTGCATTAACCTCATGCATACCATGCGGAAACAATGAGCTCTTCTGAATCCAACGGCAGGGATTTATTTAGGCAGTTTCTAATAACGAAGTTTTGAAAAATAAATAATGCTTTTATTAAACCGTAATATGGCAATGTGACTAAAGCTCTTTTGATTCATGTTAACAGCCGGATCGTCCGGATGAGCTGAACCGGATCCAAGAAGCAGGCGGTCGGGTCATTTATTGGGACGGCCCTCGGGTCCTGGGGGTTCTCGCAATGTCTAGAGCTATAGGTAAAAGTTTCAGATTCACTCTCTTAACCACCGGAGCATGATTGCACCATTTCCTTATCGTACGCCGCTTAATTGAAAACATTATCTGCGAACACAGGGGATAACTACTTGAAACCTTACGTGAGCTGTGAGCCGGAGGTCACGATCACGGACCGGACGGCGGAGGATGATTGTTTGATCCTTGCGAGCGATGGTTTATGGGATGTTGTGTCGAATGATACGGCGTGCGGTGTGGCGCGTATGTGTTTGAGGGGGAAGGGTAACCTGCACGCGCCGCCGTGTTCGCTGGCGGAAGGAATGGAACGGGAGGCGGTTTTTGGATCCATAATGGGAGAGATCTCGGACAAGGCTTGCACCGACGCTTCCATGCTGCTGACAAAGCTGGCGCTGGCCAGGCATAGTACAGACAACGTTAGCGTAGTCGTGGTGGATCTAAGGAGAGCCACGTAGGCATTCGGAGTTTCATTCTCTCTCTATCTCTCTCTCTCTCTCTATTCTCCTTTTCTTTTTGGCCTTTCTGAGGTCTAGTTTATGGGGCAGTGAAAAGCTTAGGGTTCTTTTCCTAATTGTATTTTCAGCCCTTTTTTGAAGGAGAAGATTTGGGAGGAGGGGCGAAAATATCAAGTTATGAAAGATAGTGGGGGAAAAATGGGATATTAGAAATACAAAATATAGCAAAAAAAAAAAATGAAACTGAGACTAGCTTTTGTTGGTTGGTTCTTTCTCAAGAAATGAAAATCTTTTATCCGAAATGATAATAGTTTTATTTATTCATATCATTTCATTGAATATGTTGGCCAAATTCTACGAAGATGTGAGGATTGCTTAAAAGATTCATTCAAGGAAAAAATTGGGTATAAATAAGACATGAAATGATGAAAGCAAGCTCTTTCCATTGTATGTATTTGTGTGAGTGGTGAGTTTGGTTTAAAGACAATCAATCAACCACTAAAAAGAATATAAAGGTGTAATCCAGCATGAGAAACCAAGGGCTAGCCCTCTTTTTCCTTTCATTAACGATCAGACAAGAAGCAAAAAGCGAAAGAGTGTTGCAAAAGCAGACAAAACCTTTACTTGCATTAGATGACCTCATTTTCCCCCCTGTTAAAAGAGGGGAATTTCAAAATGAGGCAATGGAACCAAGAATATTTGAGAGTTTGCACTTTAATGAAATAAAAATAATTACTTCGAAGGAAATAAGTTGATATATAATTATCAAAATCGATACTTGCATTTTTAATTTTATCATTTTTTCTAAATTTCTCATCGTTAACCTTAGCCAATAGTAAGAGAGAGAATCGACGCTGTCAGAGTTGACGTCTCAACATTGGTTGCATCGACTATAATAATACGTCACGACATTGTTGCATCGACCAGAAAAGCAAAACACAATAAACAAAAACTCAATAATTATCTAATCAGATCTAATCAATTTAGATTAAATTCAATATTATTGAATCTAATTTGACGAAATTATTTTTTTTCTCAACATGTTAGACTCTTATCTATTTTGCTTGAGATCTAGACATAGCATGCCAAATCAGGATAATTGAACAAATTCATCATTAATTAAGTTATTTCGACAAATAAAACAACTATTATCAATTTTATTAATGATGTTGTATCTTTCGATAGCTTTTTTTCTTCTTCTTCAAACCTGGAGTTTAAAGGATGAGCAAAGAAAGCAATTTAATTAGGGATAAGATGGTGATTATCTAATAATTATAAGATTCATGGTATCCTTAGTTGTAATTACTTTTTCTCAGCGGTTCAAACAATAATTATTCTTGTTCCATTGCCCCATTATGAAATTTCCCCCTTCCATGAATGAGCGATGTTAAGGTTTTTGGTTTGAGCACGTGGTGGGCCGCCTTTATCAATAATATCAAGTTTTTCTTTTGCCCTTTTCTTTTCAAACCAGATACATGTCTTAAAATCAGTATTAATTCTCATTTAAAATAAACATTTAATTAGTCAGCTCTTGTTCGTAATTATAACATGTGTGAATTCATTCATCTCATAAATTTTTATTTTGGTACAATCAATCTCTATAATTTTTAAATAAAAGAAAGTATACATACATTTATCATGTGCTTCTATAATTTAGACCTCGAGTTAAATATTTTTTTCATTGTTTTTCAGGGTATTTTTTTATTTCTTTTAATGATGAATGAATTTTTTTTATTTTCAAAAAAAATAACATAATGTTCAAAAAATTTAAATAAATTTTATTCGTTTATTACCTTCTATAAGACTTCTGTACTTTTATTTTAAAATAAAAAAGTTCTTAAAACTAATGATTGACTTATTATTATTAGTTAAAATGTCATTTATCATTTTACATCTACATGACACTACCGTTGATATTTTTAAATTAATATATTATCATGTCAAATTAACATATCATTTATAAGTAATTATAATATTTTAACATATTATATCAATATTAATTATAATGTGTTAACATGTTAGGTTAACATTACGTGATATATATTAATAAATAATATTTTAATTAAAAATATAAAAATTTATTTAAATTTTTTAAATAATTTAAAGATTTTTTAAAAATATTAAGCTTTTACAAAATAAAATTAACCTCACAAATAAATTTATTTATTTAACCAATATGTTTGAAACCTTAAAATTGGAGAGCATTTGTATAAAAAAGATAAGAGAAGGGGAGAAAGTGTCAAGTCAAAGGATCGAGGAATGGGGCCAAATAAGGATTTGGAAATTATATAAAAGAGATTAGATACTAAAGCAGGGCCAGGAACCTGCCTACGAAACTTAGAAAACACAAAGAATTTTGCACTCCAAAATAATTAAAAAGAAAAACGAAAAAGCCCACCAAAGCCTTCTTTCCTTGCTAGTGAAAAAGTTAGGATTTGTTTGGTGAGAGACATATATTTGATGGAATGGACGTCCATGTACGTCCAATCATCACATGCCAATCAACTTTTCTTTCCAATTATTGGCAAAGAAAAGAGAGACAAGAATTCAGCGTTCACCCACCCAAACAGGGAATAAAGAATCACGAGGACGACCTTCTCCTATTTTTCGTCTAAAGCAATGTTAGTCAGTAGGATCAACTTGCAGGTGTATGTGTGGGTTGGTTTGCCATGAGAATGGCTTTACATCACCCTAACAGATGTTTATTCTTGCACCCTTCTGCGATGGGAATTTCCAGGAAATGCTGCAAGGGTGCAAGTTCTGGCTCCAAGATTTCATCATCTTGAACAATCATGCTTGGCTTCATGCATTGTTTTGCCAAGAAATCAACTTCACAACTAGCCTAGTTCATTTTCTGCTCCTCCAATCCAATTCTGCCGAGTTGCAAGCTACTAGTTCTTAATCAATAACAGACATTTGAGCTGCTAAAACTAAAACTAGACAGTTTGTACCACGCTAAGATTCTAGCTATGATACATGCTAGCAAAGGATATGATATTGATCAAGGGGAAAGGGAACATAGAAGAATTAAGGACCTATATACTTATCATCTTTTGCAGGCCAAACTTCAACACCCTCAGATTCAACAATCCTGCAATGGAAATCCTGTTCATTAAACTATACAAACTAGTTTGTAATTTGACGCTAGGTTTTAGACTGGAAGACCTAGAAATAAACAGAATGTGTGAATAGGCACAGGGAAATAAAATGCTGTGATTCCCACGAAATTATTTAGCCAGGTCCAATTTCCACTGGGTTTGAAAAGTACCAAATGAAGGGGGAAAAGATTATGGTCATTTTATATGCATAATTGACATGAGATCAGAGTCCAGTATAATAAGTGCACAGAGATATCAGATACTCTGAAATCGGAAAAGAAAAAGAAAGTTAAGAATAGGACAGCAACTTCATTCATGCTAGGAACAGAAGGGTCGCAAAATGTCCAAAGAAATCTTTCCAATGATTCCACATTAGCACATGCTGTAAACATGAACAGCAATTAAACACAAAAAGGTGATCGCACAACAAGATGCAGGGACACAATTGAGACCTTTTCCAACATGCCCTTGATCAGGAACCCTCTTCTATGTCAAGCCCTTGAAACTAATTTTCTCCATTATGTTTGCTTGCCATCATCTTCAACTCCATCGTGCTTTAGTGCTTTCAATTTTCTGTAGCCCTTATCAGTACCAAATATCCTGAGAGAATGGTGATCTGCCATAGTCAGTATATGTCATGCCACTTTCTAGACATTGTTGCTACAGATAAAACATTTCAAGTGTGCACCGAACCTAACAGCAAAAATGATATTGTACCCCAAGGATATAATGTCCAGACCCCTCAATTATTATGAAATCAAGCTGGATTGCAAATGAAAACAGAATTGAAATAATAACTATACTTTGTTGCAAAGAGCACACTAAAAATAACAACACAACACCCTGTACCAAGAATTCTAAGTAGGCAATTCATCCACCATATTTCTTGTCAAAATTAAATAGAATACAAGCAAATAATTGACAGGGCAAGCATCTAACATGAAAAGCATCAGATTCAAACTAATTATAACATAAAGAAAGCAAAAGTTTTATGCAGAACATTCTTCAAAGCATCTTGACATCCAAAGTGACAAACTTTAGAATGTGCATCAGCAACTATCAAGTTGGTTTGAAGTTTAAACAACACAAAAAAGTTCCTAGTGATCAAGTGCAAACTATAATTTACAACACTCCTGCCATGTTAACATAATAGGAAGGCAGAGGAGTGTTGGTGGGGGTATTGACAAATATTTCACTTGGTTATGACTTGGAAGTTATAACCCCAGACAGAGACTTGAAAAAAACATTCCATACCAAATATTCCCAGAAAACAGGTGAATTCTTGGTGCAACTATATCCCAAAAGCAGATTCATTCTAAAAGTAGGCGTTTTACCATAAAATGGCAAAAGCTTAATGTATTGAAATGGCTAAGAACAACAGACAAAAGGACAACAAAGTAGATCCATAAAATTCATCTACTTCTCAATGGCACAAATCTAGAGGCAACCACTATAAACTACAATCTGACCATGGAAAACATGCTAACGCTTCAAAGAATAAATGCCTAAAACTCACCAGTCCATGTAAACAAATGTAGAAGAGTAGTTGCCAGATTTCGTATAAAGCAAACGGTGATGATAGTCATGAAAATCAGCACTGTTAAAATGAAGATATGAACAATTACTTCACAGCTGATGGATAAAACATAAACAAGAAACTATATACATTGACTGAAGCAAAGAAACAAGTGAATGCAGAACGCACCCCCCATATACAGGTAAAAAGTTTGAGAGGCTCCATGGAAAATGGTAACCACAATGTGCCTCAACCGTCTCTAGGACTCTAAGAACCATCCACAACCAGAGAGTGATCAGATGTGGGCCAGTGATGGCAGGACCAACAATTGTTGCAAACCCGAGGAACAATATCTCAGCAGGGTGAGCATACTCAGATGTCAGTCCAAATGGTGTAGCGTATCTGTATAATGTATATGATATTAAGTAACCAACAAGCACATGAGAAAGAACCTACGAGGAACAATATTGTTCATAGTTTTAATTAATACCAGTACAAGCACCTAATATTCAGACTTACTCATGATGGACACTGTGCACATGCTTGTAGAGCCATTTTGTATGTAAAATTCGATGTCCCCAGTAAAACACGAAATCCTCCAGGATGAAGTAGAATATTATCTGTGATAGAACCACTTTCCTGCAGAACCAAATAAAGGATCTAGCTAATTAGAGCTCCAAAACAGAGACTTTTATTGCATTCAGGTAAATTTATGGAAGAGATATTTCTCGATAAGTAATATAATTCAAGACTATTATGTCTGAATGGGGTAAAAATGGAGGAAAAAAAGATCTAGCATATAAAGAACCTGAAAATACCAGGATGGCAATGGTAGACTACTTTTCATGCCCATGAATCTAAAAACAGGATAAGAGGCAATCATAAGTGGTAAGTTGACACCAAAATGATACAGAAGCAGGCGGGTGATACATTTTTCCTGAGCAGCAGGGGTGTTGTTTTTTGTCTGCATAGAAACATAAATTAGAAATGAATCTAATTGATTACGAATTCTGCTAGATAAAGACAAAGAAAGGATTTAT